CTCAGGGAGTGCAGGACCATGGCCATGCCTCTGCCCCTGGAGCTCAGGGAGTGCAGGACCATGGCCATGCCTCTGCCTCTGGAGCTCAGGGAGTGCAGGACCATGGCCATGCCTCTGGAGCCCAGAGAGATGCAGGATGTGCTGACAGCAGAGCCCACCTGTGCACCTGTGTGCTGTTGTGCAGGGAGATGATTTATCTTAATCTGCCTTGTGTCAATAGGGTCAGATGCAACTGGTGCCATGCCATTCAAATCAAACTCAGGGGGACCCACTTGCAAAGCTGGGATGCCAGGCTGGAAGGTTTGCCAGCCTCATCCCTGCCTGCCCGAGCTCAGCCTCGGGGTGCTGGGCTGGCAGGAGCCTCCCCAGCTCCAGTTCCTCCCAGTAAACCTGCCCAGTATCACTTCCTCCTCACATACCTGCTGCAAAACCATGGGCCCTGCAAAGCTCAACCTCTACAGGAAAGCAGGGTAGCTCCTACAAGGAACTTCCTACAAGGAACTTCCTATATTGAGTAAAACAATTGATGTTGTATTTCTTCAGCACGTTGCTTAATAAGTCTAGGAAATAGCTTTACTGTGACTTTTATCACCACGGAACTCTTGTTCCACAGTTAAGAGTCTCATCAGAAGCTAAATCATTTGTGATGCTAATTACATCTTTTTTGGCATATATAACAGACCATTGTGTGAAAAAGCTACAGTAGGAGCTGAGAGGCTCATCTACAAAGTCAACTTCACACTGAACCTGAGGTTGAACATAGCCTGAAGTCAAAGCAAGAGACATTAAGCGTCTTTGTAACAGTCCCTGCTCCTGGAGCACCTCCATGGCTCCCACTGCTGCAGTGTCTGACCACAACCATGGGTCCACAGACAGGGATATGAAAGGATCAGCTCACAGCAGGGCAGGGGAGCAAATCCTGCCTGCTTCATTTTGCTGGCCTGCATCTCCTCCACACTTTTATATGTGAGTTGTGAGAATTCACATGCCTCGAGCTCATCCCACAGCTAAGAAGGAGCAAACATTTCACACTTCAATCACTTATTTTTAAATCCTAAGTACCTTAGAAGCCCATGACACATTTTCAGAGTTGACTTGGCTGTTTGAGTTTGAGTCAAAGCTGTATGAGAGAATAGATTTGCTCCCACTCAATTCTGGGCACTTTGGAGCCTGCCCCAAAACCCACTAGCTCCTTTGGAAGTTTTCCTCATCCCCTGTTCCCAGGTGGGTATGGCAAAGCCAGGAAGTGGTGCCAGTACCTTCCTATCTCTTGGCCAGAAATACCTGCATTCCAGGGGCTGCAGCTGCAGTTTTGAGCAGCAGGCTGGAGGGAAACTAAATAGAAGGAAAAGGCAATGACAGAAATTACTAAGGAAAAGCAACAATGAGTGCAAGAACAGAGAATGAATCTCAGAAAGACACTCCGTGACTGAGGGGAAAAGATTTTCTTGGATAGTGTTTTTCGTAACAAAACAATTACTGTTGCTCTGCCTGTTAACACAACTCCATTAACATGGAACTCGGCTGATGCCACACAGACACTCCCCCATTAACATAGGAATTTCCCTACCTGTCTTATATGATGCTAGAGAAGACAGGTAACATCTGTCAGGCTCATACAGCAGCCCAGCAGAATATTAATCCATCAGCAACTGCCTTGCACTGGCTATCAAACTCGATCTGAATTTCCATCTCACTAACATTTCCCAAAAAATATTATCAGAGGATAGAGAACTTCTGCTAAGAAGCACATTTTAGTGCAGACTTTGAGCAACTGTCCCTTAAACCATTACAGAGAATGTGGAGTACATATAAATAAAAACTGTAATTAAAAAATACACAGGTTTTTGCTCAGGCCATGCTACAAAGAAAATAAAATTGAACTAAGTGTGGAATAAAATTGAACAAAGTAGTATGGTACTATCACTGCTACATTTATTGGGAAAGAGAGGATAAAACTTAAACCTGTTATGAGGAACAATTTTCCTGGAAGACAGCACATCCTGTTCTATGAAGTCTGGAGAACTTTGGGGAGGGATGAATGGTGCTCTTTCTCTGCTAGCTGGGGGAGATCCCTACATTGAGGTAGGTTCTGAGGAAACCCCTGCTTATCCAAAAGTTTCCTGATGGTGGAGCAGGAAGCTGTTGTTCAGGGACACGGAACACAGGGGTGGGCGCAGCAATCAGAGATCAGGGCTCTGTGTTGAGGCACCCACCATGGGGCAAACACCTTTTGGGTGTCAATCAGAAAGGCAGTTTCTGTTCAGTGCACAGACCAAATACAGGAGATAAGTGCTCGCTGAAGCAAACCACATGAATACATTTTCCTCTCACAACAGAACCTTATGAATGCAAAAATATTTGCTGATCTTGTGATCTGGGGGGCATGCTGCACACTTGTGCTGTGTTGTGCAATATCCTGTAAGTTTTCACTTTTAAAGACTTACTGTAACAGCTAAAGCTTCTATCCTGCAACCAGATACATTCCTGCCCTCTTAATCAAGCTGGGCAATACATCCAGCCAAAAAAAAAAAGAAATCCAGAGTTGCTTTCCTTTAAATAAGGTGTTAGCTTCAAAGCTAAACAAGGGTTTGAGTCATGGCAATGTGACTAAGCACAGAAGAGAAGCTTAGGGAAGAAGAGCCATGAAGAACCAGCCTGGCCAGATCATCAGCTGGCATTAATCACCCTCACACTACCCCCATAGCTTTATTTTCCCTAAAGACCAAGGCATTGAAAAGTAACTATACCAAATGTACCAGCTGTAGAAGTCAGGTGGCTTGTTTTCCAAGGAAGTTCAGCAATGCACAGGCTGAAGCTCCCAGGGTAGCACTGGCCCACGGTTGTGTCCCACCCTGTGCACTGCACTGTGCAGTCAGTGTGTGCACAAAGGAGGAGAATCTCACATAGGTGTGGTCATGCACAGTCAGTCCTAACATCAACACCGACTTTCATATTTCCTCATTGTATTTTTATTCTTTTTAACTGTTCAAATCTAGTACTGCAGTGGGGGTGGGGAGGGCTTCTTGGAAGTGCCTGGAGGATGGTGGTTCACTGAAATGTGTTTTTGTCTCTGCCCTCTGTTTTCTACCAAGAGAGGGTTTACCCTGAAGCGTGGGTGGAGAGAAAGAGACCACAAGGAGAAAGAACAGCCAGGCAATGGCAGGAAGAATTCATATAGTTTCATGTCTTTCTTTAAGTCAGTGCTCAATGCTGGATAAATGATTGCCCAGAAAAGAGGCAACCACATTACATCCTGTTTACTTAACTTTGCAATGTTAGAATTTTGATTTTGAACTTTCATTCTCCAATTGCAAGAGAACCTCAGATTATCATAGAGAAATTACTAAGGTCCTTTTACCTTGTAACTGCAGAGAAAGAGCTTGAAAACAGGAGACCAAAAGGATTTTCAAACAAAAGTCAAATAACAAGTATGGAGCGAATCTCCTCATTTCAGTATTTGCTAGTTTTAGCAAATACTAAACTCAGCTGTGAGTTTGGGCTTAGCTGGGGAGTGGCACTGCTGGTCCTTTCTAACCTGTGCTGCCTCACAGCTCCTGGGCTCTGCATGCCTGGGAATGCTCCTGGCAGCAGGGAGGGAGCCTGGAGAGAGCTGAGCAGGAGCATTTTGCTCACAGCTGCTGGCTCTGCTCTTCCCCAGACAGGAGGGAATTCAGCCTATAATTAGCAACAGCTCACCTGCTCTGGGAGCCACTCACAGAGCTAAGGACACTCACTGCATGCAGGTTCTTACCAGTGTGACACAGACAAATCCATGTCCCTTTCAAAAGAGGTTTCTGGCCCTAGTACAGGATCTGGGAATGTCAGTGGTTTCATGGAGACTGGATATATTCTTTACACTGCATCCTTCTGCCCAGGATCAAACACTTACATTACCAAACACTATGTTTTTGCTGGAGACAAATTTGGATTTTCACTAAATTAAATTGAGAACACAGAACAACATTAAATTAGTTTTAAACTATATACAGAACCAAGCTGTATTTTAAAAGATTTTAAAACACAGGTACATTGAATATAGGAAACACATAGTAAATGCTCACTTACCCAAAAAGCATCTTTAAACTGCAGCTGGGCCATTATTATTTCTCTGCAGAGGGGTAGGAATGCTTCAGCTAGTCCGTTGTGGAGTGAGAGCAGCAGCAGGCACAGCTCTGAGCCTTGTCACTGCACCCCAGCCCAAGCAGAGAGTGCAGCACATCCACAGACCTGTCCCTCCTGAAGTCAGGCTGGTGCCAATAGCATGGGGCTGTTCCAGGCAGCTCAGAGAAATGACCTGTGGCTGTGAGGGACAGAGGGCAAAAGAGCTGTTGCTCACAAACAGAGACAGGCAAGTGCTCAGCACCCGCACCCCAAACCTGTTTCTCTTCTGGTAAACAGTTAATATTGAAATGAGGAAGCAAAGAGATGTCAAATGGTGTCAGGCTGCTCCTTGCCATGGGTGTGTGTGAGCGGACAGGAAAAAAATAGAGGGGGAAAAAAAAAGGCACTAAGTTCAGTGATATGATTTGATCAGCTGAAGGAAGAGAGAAAACAATTACAGTGCAAAAGAAACCACCACAATACATAGAGACAAGCTATTCTCTATTGCTGTGGTCTTGCAAAGAAAAAGAAGCTAAAGAAACATAAGTGCCCCATTTCTGCAGCACCTTCTGGGACTGGCAGAGGCCCACGCCTTTGCACACAGGAAACTTAGCTCAAAGCTGCATTTTGCATCTGGAAAGGCTTTTCAGGACTCAGGTTAAATTAAGAAGCCTGAGAAGTGTGCAGATGTCTGCACACATTTAGATACCTGGATGTTGATGTAGAGAACACGCCTGATTTGCATGCCCTCACATAAATGTTTATATGAATATGTAAGCCATGTGAAATTTAGAAGTAAAATCCAAAGTCCTCAAAAAGAAGAGCTAAGA